CTCTTGCCACGCTCGATAGCTTTCTCTCTCTCTCTCTCTCTCTCTCCCTCTATTTCTCTGTCTTCGTTCAGTCGTATTTTTATTTTCTCTGTCCCTTCGATATTTTTTTCTCTCTCGAAACTAGATTACAATTCGATGCTTCATAGAACGAACAGAGAGACAGAGAGAGAGAGAGAGAGAGAGCAGAGAGAATCACTTGTTACGAAGAGGTTTTTTCATCGCGTTCCTTCGAGATCCTTTCTAGTCAGGTGCACCGTGCACTTTCCTCGGCTCTGCGGAAACGTTAAATATCCAACGAGATAGGTGAAATTAAAATGGACGATTAACGCTCGCTGAAACGGCGAGGTCCTCCGCGCGAAAGTGGAATTTTCAACGGGCGTCAAACTCTCCGCGATAGCCGAAAGACGAAATCCGTCAAAACGCGATTTACTCGCAATTACTCGTACGATGTACGAACGTGTATCGCGAAACGATATTCGAGTACTCGCGCTACGGAATGGACTGTGCGCTCGAAACTCCCGGTTGGACATTTAACGCGAACACGAGACCCGAGGTAGCGTAAGCGCAACACGATATTCAAACGACGTGGAGCGCGGCTCCTCGTCGGCGTCGTTCAGTCGAACAGCGACAAGAACACTCGAACAACCGCGATGAAACAGAACTCCCTTTCTCAACGTACTACGAGGATCGTCCATTTCCACGAGCGTTGCTCTCGCTGGCACACGATCTCGCTGGCGACAACTGATCACTGATTTCGCTCACGTATCGCGCAACCGATGCAAACCGACCGATCGGCAGACACCGTCACGGCTGAGCGTATCGACGTTGTCGGCTGGCGTTTGACCACGTCGAACATCGCGCGCGACCGTACGTGAACGAGGCGTACAACGCGCACAACGCGGAACGTTTTCAAGCAGAAGAGAATGGAAACGTTCGGGACCGCGTTTCACGGGCACGGCGCTCGCGAATCTCGTACGATCATCGCTCGGCTGAAGTCTCACGAGGGCCGTTCTCTCTCGGTCACGAACACCGCGAGCATCGCGCAATTTCTCTCCTCGCCTCGGCAACGTTCACCTTGACCAGGCCCGGTAGACGATCGGTCCGGACCAGGCAAGTCCAGACCAGGCCTGCGTACATATATGTATGTGCCAGGAGAAGGAGGGCGACGACGATCAACGTGACACGCGAAAACGAAGAAACACACGGAGACACACGGACGATCCACGGTGTAACGAGCCACGATCAGCAACGATCAGCGTCCGAAGGACTCTCTCTCTCTCTCTCTCTCTCTCTCTCTCTCTGTCTGTCTCTGTCTCTGTCTCTGTCTCTCCCGCGCGTCGCGATTCGAGAGATCGTGCGAGCGCCACGGAACCAGTACCCTCGAAAACTGATTGCTGCCGGAGAGAGCGTGTTTCGTCACTCTGCACTGGCGAGACGATAATTTCAGAGGCGATTAGATGACCCAACAGCAACGATAGTGTAACGAGACCGTATTTTG